CATCATCAGTTCGTGAATTCATGAAACAGTAGTCTACAGTCACTACTGGGGTTGTCTCATCGGTGTGGTCTATCTTCCTGTGGGGGTTTGCCTTGGCTTTTCCCCTTACACAGGCTTCACACCAAGACCTAAAAGGGAAGTGTGACGCAACATGCTCTTCAAACTCTTTTCTCGTCGGGCGAATGGGAGCATGGATTTTGAGCTCAGGCGGCACTTCGTCGCCTTGCTCGGCCTCTTCGGCCTGCTCCACCGGGCTTACCCATTGCGGTGCCGGACGAAAGGGTGGAATGCAAGCGGCACAGAACAGACGCCGTTGCTGAACGAGATCGGAATCTTAGTTCCGTCTCGGGAGATCTGCCCACCAGATCCGTGCATCTGAATGCACCAGCCCTTGCTCATAAGGGCCCCCGCGGAGAGCAGCGGTTTTGCAACCGCCATCACCCGGAAACAGCAGCGTCCCTTGAGGGAGTTCTGGCCGATGCCGATGGTCACCATGGCCTCGATCTTGCCAAGGTCCTTGACCACTTCGCCTGAGGCAGTCTTGTAGACTTTGCAGGTGCCTTCAGGCTGGATAGGCTTGTAGCCCAATGCGGTGGCCAGTTCAACAGGGATGCAGGAGGTCGCGGCTCCTGAATCCAAGGTCACCTGATGAGCCATTGGCGTCTCCATGGATGCCAGCTCCAAACTCTTGAGAGCTAATAGATCCTCCTCGCCCTCATCTGGCTCACTCGAAGGTGTGGGATATCGTTTTCCCTTTCCATTCTTGGCCTCACGGGCAGCATCCTGAGTGGCCACGTTGACAGCTCGGGTCAACTGCACCTTCCTCTGCTTGCCCTTTCCTTGGCCTTTCTCGGAGGCAGCCGGAGCCGAAGCGGCTCGGCTTTTGCCCGGGGATCGTGACCGGGACTTCAGCCGAAGCGTCTGCCTTGGCGCTTCGCTGGATTCCTCTGGCTTGGATCCTGGTCCACGGAATCGCTCCTGGTGCTCCTCAGTCGAGCTCTTGAACCAGGCCATGCGTTCCTCCTTGGTCTTGCCTTTCTTCTCAGGAGGTGGAGGTGTCTTGGCAATGCGCCTTTGCTTTGGCGTCTTTGGGCCAACCTCATCTTCCTCCTCCTGTTCTTCCATCATCTGCTGCATATGGGCTGTCATGTAGAAAGGAGGTTCGTTCTTGACGGTCTCAAGCTTTGGATCTTTCATCTTCAAATGCTTTGCCACATCTTCGGGCTTCAGATCCATGTCGGCATCTTTCACATGCTTTGGCGCATCTTTTGAAGTTGGGCTGCCTTGCTGTCCCTTGGCAGTCTTGATGCGCTTTCCCATCTCTTTCTGCTTGATCGTCCATTCCTTTGCCCACTGGTTGAGGACTTTTGGCGGGCAACAATTCAAAGCCATATGGTGGTTCCATAGGCCGGTGTCATTGTCACACCTCAGGGCCTTGTTGCACGCACGGCAGACCATGTTCTTGCTGCCATCTCTGTTCTTGTGGGTGCATTTGGCTACCCATTCATCATAGCTGAGGATGCGCTCTTGGAACATGTGATCGAGCCATGGCACGGTATCTTTCTCTTTTTCTTCTTCTTGTCCATCTGACTCCTCGTCAGCTGGCTCAGTGCCGTTCTCATCCTCTTCAACTTCACCTTCAAACTCTTCTTCTTCTTCGAGTCCCTCGATCTCAGTCACATCAAGGGGATTGATGTTCTCCATGACTGGAGCTGCGAAGGATGGTGCGCTTGTTGCTCCTTCGCCTTGGCTTTCGACGCGCTTCATCACAACATAGTCCTCTGGGTTGAACCCAGCTGCAGTGAGCGCCTTGTCGATGACACTGCGGGCTGGATGGCTAGTAGCCGTCCATGTCTGGCTTTCCCGCTTCATCTCTGCCAACTCTTGAGTGGAGAGATCCTCGATCTTGGGCTCCTTCTCTTTTGGCTTTTCAGGCTTCTTTGCCTTTCCTGGCTTCTTGTAGCCACGATGCCTCTGGGCCTTTTCTCGACCTCGAGGCTGAGGGGCTTCATCAAATTTTCCTTCATCATCTTCATCATCCCAAGCTTGAAGTCGACCAGTACCCTTGGCACGAGCGATCTCATAGTAATCGAGCTCCTCAGGGTAATTGGCCTCATAGTCGCGCCAGGATTCGAAACGATCCTGGGCCTTCTCAACGCGATGCTGCTCGGCGCGCTGACGGCTCTTCTCCTTCTTCTTGGCCAATCTTGGGTCCATGCCTGATGCCAAATCAGCTGAGAGCCTTGGCGACTCCGCCGGAACCGAAGCGGCGCGGCGAGGAGTTGGTCTCTTCAGCAAGATCTTGGCTTCTCTCTCCTTTTCTTCATACTGTTCTTTCAGCCTCTTCATCTCGGCCTGTTGTTCCAAGATGGCGTCATTGGCTGCTTTGCCCTTGGCTTCGGCCTCTTCGATGGCCTTCTGGATTGTCTCAGACTTCTTCTCATACAGCTCGCGATTGGACTGCATGGTCTCTTGGATTGCTTGGTTCATGACTGCAATCCCAGCAGCTGCAATTCCAGGACGACCTTTTCCAGCTCCTGGCTTCTTTGGCATAGCCTTGACTTCAGTCTCAGCTTTTGCCTTGGCTGCTCCACGAGAAATTGCGGCAGGTGCTGACTTCTCCATCTCGATGGCAAAGAGGGTGGCGATGTCAGCGGAATACTCAGGCTCGGGTTGATGCTCTTGAGCCATAGAGGTTTCAGATTCCTCAACTGAAGCTACCTTCTTACTCTTACTCTTGCCTTTACCTTTAGAGTCTTTGCCTTTGCCACCTTTGCCTTTACCCTTGGAGTTTTGGTTGTACCAACTACTCTTGTTCCAATCATTCTTATACCAATCGTTCTTGTTCCATGAGTTGTTCCATGACGAGGGATTGGACCATGAAGAACCTTTTCCCTTCTGTTTACCTTTGTCGTTTCCCTTGCCTCCATCTTGACTCTTTCCTTTTCCTTTGCCGCCTTTTGAGCCACCTTTGCCTTTTCCTTTGGCTTTAGCCAGACTTGCAAGTGAAGCTTGCATCTGGCTGGCAGCTGCGGCTAGTGCGTCAACATCCATTGGTGCTGATCCAGTCTTTGCTTCTTTTCGGCTCTCGATGTTCTCGAGGTAGGCCAAAATCTCTGACTTCATGATGGCATAGTCAGTGAGTCTCGAACTCTGGAGATCAAGGTGATCTTGAAGTTTGGCTGGACACATCTGCTGAAGACAACTTCTTGCGATGTCATCATCAAGAGCTTTCTTCTTCCGCTCTTCATACTTTCGCCTGATGTTTTCCCAGGCTTCTATGCTCTCTCTGAGCTTGTCCAATGCACACTGTTGTGGGTGCAGGACCTTCTTCAGCAAAGCTGAGTTTGCTTGTGGGTTCTGTGGATCATACTTGGTGATCAATCGTCTCAATGCCTCTAGGCCAAAGTGCTGACCTCTGGAGGTATTCTTGACAATCTCGAGGGCTTCCCCCTCACATAGTGAGATCAGAGCCTGTCGGGCCTGAGCTGAAACAAGCTCGGCTCCTTCAGGATAATCATCTTCCAGAGATGTCTCACTGATCTCTGTGTCTTGATGCCCTTCGAGGAGCTGAATGCACTTTCCTGCATTCTTGTGACTTGTCTCAATCCAAGTCTTGAACTTGAAGTACCATGAATCCCAGGTACCTGTGTGTCCACTGAACTTGTCAGGCTTTGGAATGCCTTTCAATTCTGATCTGTCTCTTACTTCTACGCTAGTGGCTATGTTCCTTGTGATTGCCGTTTGTTGTGTATACGCTTCTGCCATCGCTCGTTGCAATTGGCTCTGCCCCTGTGCTCGGGCTTGCATCATCTGTGCAAATTGTTGTGCCATGTCTGTGGCTTGTGGTGCCTGTGCTCCTGGCTGTTGCGCCATGTTGACTTGCTAGCCAGGGATTGAAGCAATCCGGCTGTCCTGCAAGTGATGCTTGTTTTGTGGATCTCTGGTGCCAGAGCCGATGCGGCTCGGCGACCTTCGATTCGCAGACGGTAGCCGGGTCTTAGAACCGCGGCTCCGCTACCATGAACGGAGAATTTAGGCTCTTAAACTCTGTGACCCCAAGTCACTGTCCCAAAGGTTGTAGTAGAAGCTTAGGCACACTTTTAGCTCAAACTCGAACAAACGGATTGAACAAACGGCTGCAGTGAAACATACATCTATACAAGCTATGTCATGTACATGTAACTGGTGCTACATCTGATCACTTCTCTATTATTCTATAATTTTAATAAACGGTTTCCTTGATCGGATCCATGGCTGGATTTGAGTGTTTACAATGAATCCCTAAGCCAACAATGCTTGGCAAGAGTTCGGAACTACATACTGAAGAAAAACCCTGGGCGTGAACAGCCAGGGCGCACCTCAAGAATGCCCGGTTCACCAGGTATTTGATCCCTAGAGGATTGTCGAGCCGAGTTATCATGAATCACCACAACCCGGATTGGTTCTCCATCTAATCAACCAATCAATATGTTCAAGAACCTCAAAAACCAAAAACGCCGAGTCTATCTTGGTTTTAGCAAATTACGCCGAATGCCCTTTTTCAGGGCAAATTACGGGTAAAGGCGCTTTTTGCTGAGGTGGCAGAATTTTTGGTGCATTTGGAGTCTCTAGGTATATATATATATATTATATATATAATTAGCGAATGGATCTGGCAAGTTAGACAACCCATTGGTTGGGGGGTCCCTATTTCAATGCTGCACATCAATCCTTTTAACAATGTCACCGTGTCAGCTTCCAAACAGTTGTACATATACTCCAACCGCCCTCCCACCAAGCAAGTGCCAAACAGGGGTCCACAACGGTTTGGAAGGATGAGCCAACAGGGTTTGTCACAGTCAAGAATTTGGTTACGACCCAAGAGCACTGGATGATCCTCTAAGATGCTGCATCCCTTGCCCAATGCCATGCAACAACCTCCAAATAAGGATGCCAAACCACAAACAAAAAACTTAAAAAAAGACTCTCCTCAACTCTCCAACCCCCCTAGTGCGTGCCTTTGTTACAGCCAACGTTCATGATGACCTTGTCCGGGCTTGGGTCCACTTTGACCAAGCCCTCTACCCAGGACTCCTCTCCTGGGCAACTGGTGCCAGCCCCTCCAATCACTGCCTTGGAGATGAATCCAAATGCAAAGACGACCTGGGTTAAAAACAAACATACAATACTCTCCATCCAACAAACCTGGAAGTGGAACATGGCCCCTTGGATGAAACGAATACAGGCCATACAGGACAATCTATATAGATCCAAGATTGGGGATCCCCACAAAAAGGTCCTTTGGGGATCTCGAAAGTAATCTTTCTCAATCCCGGCTCAAGACTTTCCACTACCTGGAATTTCCAGTAAGCCAAGCCTCCCAAAATCAAACGAAAACAAACGAAAACGACTTCAGCCTAAGCCTAGCTGCTGAGTAGGCCTGTTTGCACCGTGGTGAGGCACAGTGCCGCAGCGACGCGTCCGTGCAGCGCGAAGCAATGGCTCGGCGCGGCGGTCCGGCGCTCGGTGCTCGGGTGGAATCTGTCGGTGGAGGCGGTGGCGGCTCGGCCAGCGCGGCCGGCGTGGCTGGCACGGCAGGTGCGGGAGGCACGGGGCGCGGAGGCGGAAGAGGCTCTGGTGGCTCCGGCACGGGAAGTTTCAGTTGAGCTCCCTGACCCTGGTCCTCAGGTTGGCGATGAAGCCCATTCACACCCATTCACTGTACCCCAGCTAGTACCTCAGTGAAAGCAGCCATCAAACATTCTCCAACTGAGGAGCTGTGCCAGCTAAAACAAATCGCTGTATCCACGGAGAAGTCGGGGAAAAAAAAGAAACAGCAATGAGGCAACCAAGCAAAGCATCTTCAACATAGATGATAGACTTGGACAAACGTAAGACACCCACACAAACGAGGTGGCTTCGCCCAAATGGAATCCGGTTCGTGGTCTCCCCGGCTTCCGAAAAATATGGAGGCACCGGCCGGCTCGTCCAAGTCTCCTGGTTTCCGTCCTTGACATCTTCGATGCCCAGTGAAGACTTGGACGTCGTCCAGAAGCTTGCCAAAGCAATCAATGAGCAGATCAACACAAATGCTCGCCACTGCCTCAGCCGAGAATGACACCAAAAACATCTGAAAACATGTGAGTTGTTGGACACCACCATTGTTTTTCACTAGTTCAACTGGTAGTGTTGCATTGGCCATCCAATAAATTACACTATCCTCGTCCTCATATGGATGAACAACAAAAACAAGGCACACTGAGGAACATCCATCGGTGTCCTTCAGTTATCTTTCCAACAGGGTCTTTGGGATATCGAGCAACGAATCCCCAAAAAAACAAAACAAGGTGTTGACATGTTTTAAATGAATGGTTCATGATGGGCCGCACAGAAGGTCACCACTTGCATTGCGATGCCAAGAAACTGTGGAGTAAAACAAGTTCAGCAAACAAATCGAGCGGGTTTTGAACAGCACACCCAAACAGTTTTGTCAATAACTTCAAGAACCATGTTTCATGATGCTTCATTCTGAGACTGCACCAAATTGCCACTGAAGAACAGGTCAAACAAATGGAAGAATAGAACTAATAGAACCCTATAGGTCAAAAACCTCATTGCTGGAGAACACTACTCGACCATGTCTTGAGCCAGACCCTGGCTTCTTCAAGTCAAATACCGTCCATCAAAAGCGGCAAACAGTACGGTTGACCTCTAATAAATCAACTTAGCATACCAACACCCTTGATAAGTACCAAAAATGCTTGTCTCTCCGTAATAAATCAAACATCAAATTTCTCATCAGTTTGGAGGTATACCGTTATTACCGTTATACCCTCAATAATGCAATAAACCTCAATCATCTAAAATTCTTAAAAAAATGTTACGCAAGTGTCACACTACGAAGTTCCGGCTGGTCACATGGCAAAGGGCTACAGGAAACGACATGCCCTTGACTGCCCAAAAAAACCTGCCTGTTCCCCAATTTTAGGCAGGACACACCATGACTTAGTCAAACAGCAGCAGCCTCCATTACAAGATTCTGGATCAAATCCGGAATGTATGCCTCATCCATCATCATGCTAGCAGAATATTGACATGACTTGTCCGCACAATGGATGTAGGTCTCTGGACATGTCATGCCCAACCAATGATCATAGATCACCGCTCCTACAACTTCGGTTGAGCTTTCAAGCATGAAGCGCATAAAACGGCTCACAGCAGGACTTGTCCACGGACAGTGGGGGGTCTGTGGACACTCGCAGGGCAGTTTTTGCGGATCCCAGAATTCCTTCAGAACAAGGGGTCCATCCTGGTTGGTCGGCCGCGATAAGTGGTCATCTTTGGAAGAACTGGCACACCTGTCGAATGGTAGCATCACGTACATTCTGACCCACAAACATGGCGGATAAATTTGATCCTTAGCCCCCCGATGTGTTTAGATTCCTCGTTCGGTGTGAGGTGGCCGGACTCCACATGCACATCCCCGGGGTCAGACCAAACAACCGGTCACGAAGCTGAACCAAAGCCTTCCCGGGGTGTTTCTTCCTTAGGGTCTTGACTCTTGACATGTGGAGAATTGACATGTTGGCTGCCAGTTGGAACTGAACGATGGCACTTTCAAGCGCAAACCCTCGTTGGTCAGCAACATGTCGATGGAGATATCCCAACATGTCGATGGCGACATCTGAAGGTGATCCCTGGAATGTGGCACGCAGATTCACACTCCCACTGCGCTTGAGGATAATTATCTTTGACATAATGGCACTAAAGCCACCACCGTCAAAAGTATGCATCAAGAGTTTATCAATATTGGACAAAACATTGAACAATCCACACATAGGGCTGATGTTAAAGTGGCTTTTGGACAGTAGCTAGGCTATCACCTAAATCTCCTATCTGTGCCAAACATCTCTGCCTAAACATATTGGGACAAAAGCATTCTTATTTACCCGTGTTTCCATTACTTACGTATATATATAAAAGCATTCTTATTTACCCGTGTTTCCATTACTTACGTATATATATATATATATATACATTCTTGCCTTCCCACAACTGCTTTAGCGGAAGTGGAGTGCATTCAGCAAATGGCACTTAACATGGCGGGTGATGATGTGATAGCCTCCTGAGCCCCGCCCCCTCCGAAGCCGGGACCTGGCCTGGTCCGGCGCACCTGGTCGCGTGACAAGCGGCAGACGGACGTCCGGCAAACGAGGCGGAATTTTTGGATTCAACGATCGTGTATCAGAATAGATGACAACAAAACTAAAGAGGATTAAAGATGTCTTGTATATGGGGGTCCATATAAACCACCTTTGGGGGATTGTGCAATCTACTCTGAAACCACTGTATAATATATAATAGACCTACAATGTGTAACACGGCTGGTCGAGTTTCCATACGAAGATTCTCCCATGATTTATCGGGGGTCTATATCATGGGGCATTTACCAGTCTTCGCAGACTCAAGAAGGCTCGTTTACAAGCCCCAAGTCTGCTTTGGAGAGCATGGATTGCTAAGCTGCTAAGACCTTCCTAGTTTCTTGAGAAAGATCAACACATACAAAACAGGAAACACGAAAGTCAAACCCGAGGTTCCAGCCAGTTGCAAAAACTATATGTCACACAATGTCACACATGTCCAAGACTAGGGAAGCCAAGGTTGCTCAAAAGGTCAAATATGCAATCTGTTTGTACAACTCTCTGGCTGCCCTGTCACCAGCCTGTCTGCGCCACTTCATGTCTGACACATCCTGCAGACCAGCACCAGGGAGAGTCTACATTTATAGTGGATTGAGAGTAGATGGCGCTATGTGGGCCCCATCCAAAGTCATCTTGTGGGTTGCTCCATCCAATTTGAAACCACTGTAAAATACTGGCTGAACCCATGATGTTAACATTGCTTCTCCAGAAAACCAACTCTGGAGCCACCCAAAATGTTCAAACAAGTGGGCAAACATTAGGGTTGATTTCACTTGAGCTCCTGTGAATTTCACACCGGCTGGATGGTCCAGTGTCCCAATTGATAGAAACCAAATGCCCATATGTGTTCCCTCTCCCCGGGGTCAACAATTCAAGTCCCATGAAGGTTTCATGTCACTGTGGAACCCAGCTTGGCTATTTGGGAGTTCTTGGATAGTGACAGTGACTCGGAGACACCTGGTGCCCTACATGATGCTGTTTAGTGGACCCCAAACAAATCAACAGTATAAACCATATATACAATCCACCTCTTGCAAACTGACCTCAACATTGTCTAAGTGGTGGATCCCCCCAACATCAGTATAAATCAAACAAATACCATCCATCTCTTGGAAACTGTGCTCTGCAGTGTTTTGTTAATGTTCCACCATGCAACAGGTGCGCTCCGCACACCTCCGCACACCTCCCAACAGCGGTTAAGTGACCTTATTATAGGACTCTACCAGGGTACCTATGGGATAGCCTATAGGGTTCTTCAACCTCTGTCACCTCCGGCGGAGCGCCGCGTCCGCCTTCAGCTTGGGCTCGCTGTCGCTGCGGCGGAGCTGCTGTTGGAGCCGTCGGATTTCCTGGGCCTCGCCGCGGAGCTTGCCCGGTGAGGGGACGTGGAGGAGGGATGGAGGTGGGATGTATCCATATGCAAAGCTAAAATAGACAGATAGAATTAAGTGGATGATGTCAATGATGTCATGATGTCATAGCAAATGCATAAGTCAACAATTCAGCACACCCGCTGCTGTTACATGTAGCTGGCCGCGAAAGAGAGGCTCTCATCACTCCCTATACAAACCCTACCGGTGGTTGTTCCGCACTTGGACCAGCTTGGACCACCAAGAATTTCCCTGCAAACTCCCCGGCTTAGGAACATCTCCAAATTCCCAAAATCGTGTGTTTGGCAATCCGAGGATCGGAATTGCATTATTTTTTACCTGGCTCAGGTGGGCACCAGAGCCACTAAGAGCCACACTCCAAGAGGATAACAAAAACTGGACCACTCAAGCAACTGGGGGTCACACTGCCATCAAACACAAGTCACTTGTCATCCCTCTTAGGGTTAGCAAAACTGGGGCCTCCCTTTGGGGTTAGCAACAAAAGAAAAATAACCAAAAAGGCGCCTGTTGCCAATCCCCTGGAGGGCGCCTGTTGCTCGATCTGCTCCCGTTGCCGCACCGCCTCCTTGGCACTCTTCTCCTGTGCCGCCAAAAGCGCCAAGCGACGCCTCAGAAAACACGCCCAGCGAGGCTCCAAGGGGTCCTATACGGTGGAGACTTTCCCCAAAAGGACCCTATAATCTATCCGTGACTATCCCATTTGTACCCCAGGTGACGGGTCCTAGTTCAGGTCACTTGACCTACCCTGCTGTTGAGCTGGGTATGGCGAGCTGCACGGTGTTTGGCGTCGAACCTTTAGAGAAGGATGAGTAGATGGAGACCCAAATCTACGGCCACAGCCAGCTGAGGAAGGAAGCTCACTTGGTACATAGTGTGGACTCGTGATTGATAACCCCACGCATTTGCTATTTGAAGTGTAATTAAAACCTCTTCATCAGGAGGGCTTGACATCAAAAGTAAGTATACATGATCATGCCACTCTCAATCTTTCTCCCTAGTCACACTATACTCTATGCCACACTCAGATCGTTGGCTTCCATTCAATGATCATGACCCGGAACGGGAGGTCCGAACGGTACCGGGGGTAGGAACTACAAATGAGCCTCTCCGCGTCCACGCATGTCGTCTGCGGAAACGATCTGTCTAGAAACCGGAGCTCGCATGAGCTCGCAGTCTCCCCAAAGACCCAAAGATTTTGTGGGGAGACTTAAGGAGACTGAGACCATGTTGTCATATTGGAGCTGTCAATGCGGAGGCTTCCCCTCCCGTCGCTGCCGCGCTGTTCTACCACCTTGTAACTAAGCAAATGTTCATGGGTGAAGTCCACGATCTCCGGTCTCATCTGGCGCACCAAACGTCCATCCCAGCAAAAGGACCCTTCAAAGCAGATGTTGACCCCATGGGCCCCTTCAAACAAATTGACCGATACCAGGTGGCTCAAGTTCAAGTTCGCTCTTGCGCTGGCAGTGTGAGATCGTGGCACTGACCTCACACGTTGCGCACTGGACTGCTGACCCACACGTGGCGCACGGCCGGTCTGCTGGGCAATGTTCATCCACACTCGACCCAAGCGAGATGATCCAAGAAGGCTTTGGGAATGATTTAGCCGGTGTTTAACGCAACAATCAAGGCTCCCGCGCATGTTGATCGTGTTGATATGCTGATGTACCATCAAATGCAATTCGTAGTCGACAAATCAACAATAAACACAGTAGTCCAAACATCTCATCTTATGTCATGACAAATGAGTGGCATCGTGAAGAATCTTATATATGTCACATTAGCTTAAAAAATATATCAAATTGTATGTTATATATATATATTAAATTATATATAATTATGCTTCCATGGCTCCATTGGAACTCACGCAATGTCATTGTGCCAAAGGCGGTCCTAATAGACGTGAATTTGCCTGAACCCACTAATAATCATAGGATATCCTGTAAGTCTTGGGGTCTATGTCATTCTATGTCCAAAACCTGGAAAGTCAATAGTCAAAGATGTTTGTGGGAAACATCTCATCAATCCATCCCGTTAACGAAACCTGAAGCAGTGCTCAAAGTAACTCCTTCAGTGTCACTGGAAAATATAGCGGATATGCCTTTCTCTGTCCTTGTTTCGTGGGGACACCACTCCCACAAAAGGTTTTGCAGGTTATCCTCTGACTGGGTACGACTTGGAGCGTTCAATGGTCCAACCCAACGTCGACGGTGCTTGCCCAGGTGCTCGCTCCTCTCTCGCCTTCACGCGAGTCAGCAGCTCAGAGCGCTCTTCTTGCATGTGCTGCCTGCGAACGAAGGAGGATGAACTCCATTAAGAGTTTCAAACCCGCGCTTCAAGAAGCACTATTTAGTTAGAGTATCAATCTCGCCTATATAATAAACTTGGACAAAAAACGTCACAACCTAAAGACATGGTACCTCCCACGTGGCAGGCTCCTCCTACTGCAACCCCCATGATCTGCCAGAATATGCTGACTTCCTATGCTTTTGGTTATGACTTCCTCCTCCTCGTCGCGAGGACTCGCCGCAGTCAGTCGGCGCTCCACCTGCAGCTCTTGAGAAGACGTTGCTGTTCGCAGTCGAAGCTCTCCTGTTCGCTGCGCTGGTACCAAATCGGGA